AAAAAAAAAAAGAAAGAAATCAAAAGGGAAATAAGAAACTATTTTGGGTTGGGGACATAGCTCAGTTAGTAGAGTGCTTGCCTCAAATGCACAAGGGTTAGGATTAGGGTTAGGATCAATCCCGAGCACCTTAAAAAAAAAATGTCTGGAGACAAATGAAAAGGTACACACCATACAAAGGGGGCTGAAGTTGAGGCTCAGTGGTAGAGTGCTTGCCTAGCATGTGTGAGACACAGAGTGACTTAGCACCACATATAAATAAATAAATGAATAAATAAATGAAGGTCCATCAACAACTAATAAAAATATTTTATAAAAAATACCACACAAAAACTTATCAGATGCAGCAAAAGAAATTCTAAGGGGGAATTTAATAGTAACAAACACCTACATCAAAAAAGATCTTAAATAAACAACTTAAATGTTATACTGCAAGAAACTAGTAAAAGAAGGGCAAATTAAAACAAAAAAAAATTGGGGAGGAAATAATAAAGGTCAGAGCAGAAATAAATCAAAGACACTAAAAAATATATTTAAAAAATCAGTGAAATCCACAGTAGCTTAACAGTTTTACAATCCTTGAAGATTCTTACCTAGGAAGATTCCAAATTCTCTATATAATTCAACATCTGTTATTTTCTGTTTTAGCCATCATGATGAGTTATATCCCACTGTGGTTTGGGTTTCCATTTCCCTAATAATACTGTTAAGCATCTTTTAATATATTCATGGACCAACTGTACCTTCTCAAGAGAAAAGTGTATTCAAATACACACTTTCATTGAACTGTGTTTTTGAAATGAAACTTTAGGAGTTTCTCATCAATATAACTGTTATCCACTGTCCCCCAAAGCCATCAGAGGCACAGAAAAGGGAACACCAGGAATGGATCCACATGCAGGAGAATCCTAGAGGTTCCCTCACTGTCATCAGTTGGATTACAGGCATAGCTTCAACAACAAATTTCAAGTGTGAAAACTTAAAAAGACTTTTTTTCTTATTTGTTTATTGTTTTAGTACCAGGGATTGAACCAGGGGGTGCTTAACCACTGGCCTACATCCTCAGTCCACTTATAAGTTTTTTAAAATTTTGAGACAGGATCTAAATTGCTGAAGGACTTGCTAAAATGCTGAAGCTGTCTTTCAACTTGCAAGCCTCCTACCTTAGCCTCCCAAGCTGCTGAGGGATTACAGGTATACACCACCACATCTGGAAAAAGTAAAAGACTTCTTAGAATTTACAGTCCCTAGGGAGTACATAACATGCCCAAAAGCCACACACGCATGCGCGCGTGCACACACGTCAGGGAGAATAGGAAAAGGAAGATCAAGAAAGAATGTAGAGAAAAGGGACCCATGGATTAATGCCTTTATTGAGTTTAGGGCATTATCCAAACAAATCTGCTTGGCAATTTTAATTGGTAGGTTTGAAGTAAGCAGTCACTGTATCTAGGAGGTTATGCTGTGACAGAAGCATTTATAGAAGTTCACAGGTTAATGTCTAAATGTCCTGTTAAAAGGAAGTGATGGAGAATGAAGAGATGCCCCTAAACACTGCTGCAGGCATGTGGATGGGTTGTAGAAACTGAAAACTGTACCAAGAATGATGGA